CATCACATATGGGCACCGGTTCTAGTCCGGGCTGCCGCTCTTCCGATCCAGGTCTCTACTATGGCCTGGGAAAACAGTGGAAGATGGCCTGAGTGCTTGGGCCCCTGCACCCACATGGGAGACCCAGAAGAGGCTCTGCTCCTGGCTTCGGATCGGTACAGCTCCAGCCAATGCAGCCATCTGGGGAGTGAGCCAGCTGATGGAAGACCTCTCTGTCTCTACCTTTCTCTATAACTCTGTATTTCAAATAAATAAAATAAATCTTTACCAAAAAAAAAAAAAAAAACACATTTGGATACATTGAACTAAGGGTGTGAAAGACCACCACAATGAAAATTACAAAACAATAATGAAAGAAGTAGAAGAAGACACAAGAAAATGGAAACAAGCCTATGTTCAGGGATTTGCAGAATTAATATTATCAAAATATGCATACTACCAAAAGCAATTTATAGATTAAGTGCAGTCCTCATGAAAATACCATTGACATTCTTTGTAGAAGTAGAAAAAAAATCCTAAAATTCATGTGGAGCTTTTACCAAAGAAATCTTGAACAATAAAATCAAAACTGGAGTCATCACAATACTAGATTTATAACCAAAACAGCATGATACTGACCTACAAATAGACACACATGAAACAGGATAGAAACCCCAGAATTTAATTTACCCATCTTACAACCATCTTGTCTTTGATAAATGTACTAAAAACATTCCCTAGAGAAAAGACAGTCTCTTCAATAAATGTTGGGAAAATTGGATTTCCACATGTGGAAGTTTGAAATAAGACCCCCTGCCCCACACCCTGTACAGAGATCAACTCAGGATCCAGTGTTGTGTGGTAGCGTGATGCTGTCATCCCTTATCGGAATGCCAGTTTGAGTCCCAGCTGCTCAGCTTCTGATCCAGGTCCCTGCCAGTGCACCTGTGAAGGCAGGCGGTCAAGTGCTTCTGCCCCTGCCATCCTTGTGGAAGATCTGGATGGAGTTTTGGGTTCCTGGCTTTGGCCATTTGGGGAGTGAACCAACTAATGGAAAATCTCTCTCTGTTCCTCCTTCTCTGTCTCTCTGCCTTCTGCATAAAAGTAAAAATAAATAAATAAAAACACTTCAAATGGATCAAAATGGACCTGAAAGCATGAAACTACTAGAGAAAAACATAGGGGAATCACTCCGAGATACTAGTCTAGGCAGTGCGTTTTGGATAAGTCCCTGAAAGCACAGGTAATAAAAGCAGGAATAGATGAGTGGTATTATATCAAACTAAGAAGCTTCTTCACAGCGAGGAAAACAACAGAGTGAAGAGACAGCTGACAGAATGGAGAAAATACTCATAATGCATCTGATAAAGGATAGGTCCAGAATACATGAGGAGCTCAAGAAATTCAGCACCAGTAAAACAAATAATCCAGTTAAGAAATAGGCAAAGGATCTGAAAAGATAACTTTCCAAAGAAGAAATACTGATGGCCAACAGACGTATGAAACACTGCTCAGGATCACTAGCAATCAGGGAAATGCAAACAGAACCCACAGTGAGGTATCATCTCAATCCAGTTAGAATGGCTATTACTCAGAAGTCAAAAAATTGCAAATGGTAAGACTGGGAGAAAAAAAGGAACTCTAGTACACTGTTGGTGGGAATGCCAATTGATGCAGCCATTATGGAAAACAGTGTGGAGAGTCCTCAGAAAGTGAAAACTAGATCAGCCGTGTGACTCAGCCATCCCATTTCTGGGAATATATAAAAATAAATAAATAAATAAAAAAAGGCCAGCATATGAAAGAGATACCTGTGCTCCCGCATTTTTTGCAGCCCAATTCACAATAGCAAAAACATGGAATCAACCTGGTTGTCCATCAGCTGATGACTGGATAATGACATTGTGGTATGTACACCTGATGGAATATTACTTAGCCATAAAAACTAATGAAATCCTGACATCTGCAACAAAATGGGTAGAACTGTTGATCACTATGCTAAGTGAAATAAGCCAGACTCAGAAAGTAACTTTCCATGTGTTTTCTCTCTTACGTGGAAGTTAAAATACACACAGTATTAAAAAAATGTGTGGATGCCATATTATTTGGTACATGGATATTTGTAAAGATTATATTCACTGAATTATAACCTTATTTAATAATAAATTTATTTCCTCACTTTTTTTTTTAAAGATTTATTTATTTAGGGCCCATGCTGTGTTGTAGTGGGGTAAGCCTCTGTCTGTGGTGCCGGCATTCTGTATAGGTGCCGGTTCGAGTCCCAGCTGCTCCAATTCTGATCCAGCTCCCTGCTAATGCACCTAGGAAAGCAGCGGAGGATGGCTCAAGTCCTTGGGTCCCTGCATCCACATGGGAGACCCGGAGGAAACTCCTGGCTCCTGGCTTTGGATTGGCCCAGCTCTGGCCTTTGCAGCCATCTAAGGAGTGAACCAGCAGATGTAAGACTTTTCTGTCTCTCCCTCTCTCTGTCTGTAACTCTACGTCTCAAATAAATGAATAAATATTTTTAAAAAGATTTATTTATTTGTTTGAAAGACAGAGAGAAGGTTCACTCCCCAAATGGCTACAATGGCTGGGACTAGCCAGGCTGAAGCTGGGAGCCAGGAGCTTCTTCCTGTTCTCCTGTGTGAGTGGCAGGGACCAAAATACTTGGACGATCTTCCACTGCTTTCCTAGGCACATTAGCAGGGAGCTGGATTGGAAGTGGAGCAGACAGGACATGAACTGGTGCCCATATGGGATGCCAGCACCCAGCCCCTTTCCTCACGTTATGATCCTTGGCATAAAATCTATGTTAATTGATAGTAATGTATCCACCCTCTGCTTTTAAGAAAATTGTATATATGACTATATTTATATATATACATATATAAATAAATACATATGCAGTGAATATGGTGTGGTATTAAAAGTTGTTAAATCTACGTGGCCTCATTGGACTCTTCTTTATGCTTTTCTGTATTATTTGAAGTATTTTAAAATAAATAATTGAAAGGCAAAAGGAAAAGGAAAAAATGCATTATATTTAATCAGTGTGTACTTAATGTAGTGACTAATCTCTACCATTTTACTGACTTTCTAAATCCATCTTGCCTGTTCTATCATTTTATGATTAATGAAGTAGTTTTTAAAAAGATTTATTTTGTTTATTTGAAAGAGTGCAGAGAGAGGTAGAGACAGAGAAGTCTTCTATCCACTGGCTTGTTCCTCAAATGGCTGCAATGGCCGGAGCTGGGCTGATCCGAAGCCAGGAACCAGGAGCTTCTTCTGGGTTTCCCATGTAGGTGCAGGGGCCCAAGGACCTGGACCATCTTCTACTGCTTTCCTAGGATATTAACAGGGAGCTGGATTGGAAGTGGAGCAGGCGGGACTTGAACCGGCTGTCCAAATGGGACGCTGCAGTGCAGGACCACTGCACTACAGTGCTGCCCGTTAATAAAGTACTTTAAAATAAAAAGTAAATGCTGTGAGGGCCAGGCTGGTGAACTTGGTCTCTGTGACTGTGTCACGGGCGGATGTGGAAATCTTCAGCACGTAGCACTTGGCGAGGAAAGGTGGTAGCAGGAAGTGCAGTGAGGTCTGTTCCCCAAGGCGTCTCTTGGTTCTTCCCCTTGCATTTCACGTCTTAGAGGGCCTTTCCTCTGCTGACATTTTTACTTTGAGTTACTAAGAAGTTTATTCTAACATCCTTTCTCTCCTTTTTCTTTCCAGGCGTTGATAAGTCTGCCCAAAGGACAGTTATCAGAGAAATAGAATCCATTTAAATCTCTGGCATGATAGCTTGTTTCTCGCTGTAGCTGTTCAGAGTGTCTGTTCATCATTGCCTTGGGTGCTCTGAAATGAAACTGTGCTTTGATAGGAAGGTTTAATACTCACTTGGATTTCGTGTGACACTCAACTTTTACAGTACAGTTCTTGTTAGACCGTGTGACTCTTCTCCAACTGTAAGAGTCCTTCCGTGCATTATTTAACATGCCTGAATTGAGGTATTTCTGACCTTCGGTGGTCTTACTCAGATTTCATCACTGGTATCAGATATTCAAAATTAACAGTTTTTTTTCTTAAGATTAATTTATTTGAAAGATTTACAGAGAGAAGTAGAGGCAGAGAGAAAGGGGTCTTCCATCCGCTGGTTCACTCCCAAATGACCATAATGGCCAGAGCTTAGCCAGCCTGAAGCCAGGAGCCAGGAGCTTCCTCCGGGTTTCCCACATGGGTGCAGGAGCCCAAGGACTTGGGCCATCCTCCGCTGCTTTCCCAGGTACATTAGCAAGGAGCTGGATCAGAAGTGGAGCAACTGGGGCTCGAATCACTGCCCATATGGGATGCCGGTGCTGAAGGCTGGGGCTTTAACCTGCTGCGCTACAGTGTCTGCCCCCCACATCTGCAGTTTTTAAAACATACTGAGCATGATTACTTTTTTCTCTACAATAATCTCTAATAAAATGGAAAAAGAAAATAGTCTTTTTTAAGGCTTTGAATATTGTCTTGCCAACTGGGGTGAGCTTATAGTCAGTACTGCTAGGATCCTTAAAGGAACATCTTTTCTTTTAGGAGGTCATTTTTCTTGCTAAGTATGCCGTAGGAAAGTGAAGAATGATCTTAATTTCTCATTTTAAAGTGACTGTCAACTGAGCCAGGCAGTTTAACGCTCCAAAGTTGGAACACATGCGTTCATCAGTAAATTTAAATGTGCTAGTAGTCGCCATTACTACTAAGTTGTGTGAGTAATATATTCACATTTTAAATGATATTGATCTTCATTCAGTGCCTAAATTAGGGCATCTCAATTCTTAAGAAATTGCTGATTCTTTTCCACTTTGTTGGCATGCAGCCAGACATGAATTCTAGCCAACATTCCACAGCTTTTTCTTTCCTTTGCTTCTTTATGCAGCATTCTTTAGGAAATCAGAACACGTTTGGGATGCTAAAAATAGTAAACGGGCATTGTCTTTAAAGTAAACTTACAATAATTATTCTGTATGTTACTGTGTCTTCAGGTACTTGAAGTTTATTGAGCTGCCCTTGACTCAGAGAAAGTTTTGTCAAAGATGTCAGCAGTTGCTGTTACCAGGTGACTGGGAGAAGCATCGTGAGCATGAGGTGCTGGGTGATATTTCTGTCTCCCAGTTAAAAAGGCCTAGTCAGCTCCTTTACCCACTGGAAAACAAGAAGACAAATGCCCAGTATCTGTTTGCTGATAGAAGCTGTCAGTTCTTGGTGGACCTACTTTCTACCCTTGGATTCAGGAGAGTACTGTGTGTTGGAACACCAAGGTATGTACACACTTGTTTTGTTTTGTTTTGTTTAAGATTTATTTATATATTTGAAAGGTAGAGTTACAGGGAGGCAGAGACAGAGAGAGAGAGGTCTTCCATCCGCTGGTTCACTCCCCAGGTGACTGCAATGGCCGGAACTGAGCCAATCTGAAGCCGGGAGTCAGGAGCTTCTTCTGGGTCTCCCACATGAGTTCAGGGGCCCAAGGACTTGGGTCATCTTCCACTGCTTTCCCAGGCCATAGCAGAGAGCTGGATCAGAAGAGGAGCAGCTGTCACTTGAACTGGCGCCCATATGGGATGCCGGCACTGCAGGTGGCGGCTTTACCCGCTACGCCACAGCGCCGGCCCCTTGCTTGTTTTTTAATTCTCTCATTGTCAATAAACTGTAAGACAATTCTATTGAGTAGGTATGTGTGGGGTGCAACATGAAGCTGGGAGCATTCTCTTAAAGAATGGCCCTTAAAGAGTTACAATTTGGTCTGTTTGAAAGAATTCGCTATAGATTTCCTTCTGATGCGTCATAGCAAATTCTTTCTGATCTTATTTCTAAATTGTTTGTAATTTTAGACTTCTGTTTATGGTAAGTTCTGCCCTTTAAAAAATACTTGCAGAGCTGAGACTTTTGTTATACCTGCTAAATTCTCTTCAGTATTTTATCGAATATCAGAACATCAGTGAGTTTTGTTGTTTGTTTACTTGATGTCTATGACATTTATAATTTCTTATTAAATTTTCTTTCACTAATTGCTTTAGGTTACATGAACTGATCAGGTTGACAGCATCAGGTGACAAGAAGTCCAACATTAAAAGCCTTTTATTGGATATAGATTTTCGGTATGTTTACAAAAGGTGGTAATTCTCCTTTATTGTCTGTGGTTTCTTTTTAGTATTTTTCTCTTGAATCTCATGGTTTATAATCTGTTAACAGTGCTGTTATTATCTTTTACAAGTAGTCGTGGATTATGAGGCACCTTTTTAGTCTTCTAAATGCAGCATGTCATCTGTATTCCAACCAATTTCCCGTCTTGCTAGAGTACTTTCTAGATTTTTATCTCTGAATATATCTAGTTGTCTCTGGCTTATAACTTAGAGATTCATTGCTACGAAATGAAGTTTCTTCTCATGTACTCATGTTCAAAGATAATCCTGAACTCACTCCTATTTCATTAGATTTCTGAGGCTTTGTTTCATCATCAGATCTTTGAAGTGTGCTAAGGTGTTTCTTCGGATCTGTTTTACAGACGATGTGCGTATTGTCTTTCACTGGACATAACCTGAAGTGAAAGCAGTGTTAACTGGGGAATAGACAGGTCCCAGGGCGGCGGACTAGCAAATGGATGTGCTTTCTGGGAGAGGCTCAGAGTGAGCTGCACCTGCTGAGCTGGAACAAACGTGGGTGAGAGGAGCGAGGAACAGTCTTGCATCTCCCATCTGGTGGGAATTTAGGAGACACAGAGCTTTGATTTCTAATGCGATGGTGAACTTGTCCTTCTGCTGTCTCCATAATTCTGTATCTTTGCAATACTCTTCCTAGATTTTGTAGTTGAATTCCAAGAGTTCATGGTGAGTTTAGAGGACACTGTATTCTTAGCGTCTTTCACATGTTTTTGAATGCACTGAAGGAATCAGGATTGTGTTTCTTTTTATAATGTTTAATTTTATTTATTTTTTCTTGTTTTTAATTTTCTTTTATTTGAAAGGCAGAGTTACAGAGAGATAAAGAAAGATATCTCCCATCTGAGGGTTCACTCCCCAGATGGCTGCAATGGCGGGGCTGGGCCAGGCCAAAGCCAGGAGCTGGGAGCTTCTTCCGGGTCTCCCATGTGGATGCATGGAGCCAAGCACTTGGGCATCTTCTGCTGCTTTCCCAGGCACATTAGCAGGGAGCAGGATGGGAAGTGGAGCAGTTGGGTCTCCAACCAGCAGCCATATGGGATGCCAGCATCACAGCTGGAAATTTAACCTGCTATGCCACAATGCCAGCTCCAAGTTTTATTTATTTTTTAAAGATTTATTTATTTGTTTGAAAGTCAGAGTTACACAGAGAGAGAAGGAGAGGCAGAGAGAGAGAGTGGTCTTCTATCCATTGGTTCTCTCCCCAGTTGGCTGCATCCAAAGCCAATCTGAAGCCAGAAGCCAGAAGCCAGGAGCTTCCTCTTGGTCTTCCCATGCGGATGCAGGGGTCCAAGGACTTGGGCCATCTGCTGCTGCTTTCCCAGGCCATAGCAGAGAGCTGGATCAGAAATGGAGCAGCCAGATCTCGAACCGGTGCCCAAAGGGGATGCTGGCACCGCAGGCTTTACCTGCTACACCACAGTGGTACGCCACAGTGCCAGCCCTGTTTTATTTAATTTTTTCTTGTACTTGAAAGGCAGAGCAATATGGGGAGAGAGAAAGGAGAAGAGATAGAGAGATTGAGGGAGATGGATTTTCTATTCACTGATTCATCCCTGGAATGCCCACAACAGCCAGGGTTGGCCAGGGTGAAGCCAGGAGCCTGGAACCCCATCCTATTCTCCCATGTGGGTGGCAGGGGCCCAAGCACTTGCGCCATCATCTGCTGTCTCCCAGGATGCATTAGCAGGAAGCTGGATCAGAAGCAGAGATGGGATTCTCTGATGTGGGACATGAGTATCTCAGTGATATCTTTTTTTTTTTTTTGACAGGCAGAGTGGACAGTGAGAGAGAGAGACAGAGAGAAAGGTCTTCCTTTGCCGTTGGTTCACCCTCCAATGGCTGCCGCGGCCGGTGCACTGCGGCCGGCGCACCGCGCTGATCCGATGGCAGGAGCCAGGTGCTTCTCCTGGTCTCCCATGGGGTGCAGGGCCCAAGTACTTGGGCCATCCTCCACTGCACTCCCGGGCCACAGCAGAGAGCTGGACTGGAAGAGGGGCAACCGGGACAGAATCCGGCGCCCCGACCGGGACTAGAACCTGGTGTGCCGGCGCCGCAAGGCGGAGGATTAGCCTAGTGAGCTGCGGCGCCGGCCTCAGTGATATCTTAACCTGTTCTACAGCCCTCACCCCAGGCTTGTGTTTCTTTTTATTTAGCTCTGATAGAGTCTATTTGGACAGTGTTCCAATATTTGTTGGAGAATATCTCTGAAATTAAATATGCTTTTCCCCCCAAACAGTGTAGACAGGGGTGAGAGTTGTGGCAGAGTGGGTTAAGCTGCACCGTGGGATGCCTGCATCCCATGTCAGAGCACCTGGGGTTGAGTTCAGCCTCTGCTACTGGCAGTTTCCTGGGAATGCTCACCTGAATGGCGGCAGATGATGTCTCAAGCATTTGGGCCCCTTCCATTGACGAGGGAGACCCACATGGAGTTTCTGGCTCCTGGTTTCGACCAGGCCCTGCCCTAGCTATAGTGGGTATTTAGGCAGACAACCAACTGATGTGAGATCTCTCATGCTGTATTTCTTTTTCTCTGTCTCACTGTTTCTCTGCCTTTCAAATAAATAAAAATAAACTTAAGGCCGGCGCCATGGCTCGATAGGCTAATCCTCTGCCTGCGGCGCCGGCACACCAGGTTCTAGTCTCGGTCGGGGTGCCAGATTCTGTCCCAGTTGCCCCTCTTCCAGGCCAGCTCTCTGCTGTGGCCAGGGAGTGCAGTGGAGGATGGCCCGAGTACTTGGGCCCTGCACCCGCTTGGGGGACCGGGAGAAGCACCTGGCTCCTGGCTTCAGATCAGCGCAGTGTGCCGGCTGCAGCATGCCATCTGGTAAACCAACGGCAAAGGAAGACCTTTCTCTCTGCTCTCTGTCTCTCTCTCACTGTCCACTCTGCCTGTCAAAAAAATAAAAATAAAAAACAACTTAAAGTCAGATCATTTTAAAATGTTATATTAAAACCCATAGCTTTTTTTTTCAAAGACTTATTTATTTGATAATCAGAGTTACAGAAAGAGGAGAGACAGTGAGAGAAATCTTCCATCTGCTGGTTCACACTCCCTAGATGTGTGCAATAGCCAGTGCCGGGCCAGGCTGAAGCCAGGAGCCAAGAACTTCATCTGAGTCTCCCACGTGGGTGCAGGGGCCCAGACACTTAGGGCATCCTCCACTGCTTTCCCAGGTCATTAGCAGGGAACTGGATCAGAAGTGGAGCAGCTGGGACACTAACGACCAACCACATGGGATGCTGGCGACACAGACAGTGGATTTACCCATTACGCCACAACACCAGCCCCAGAAAGAATAGCTTTTATAATTTATTTTTCTTTGGTTTTCTAAGTCTACTTGACATTGCTTAATATATGCCTCTAGGATTCTCGGGAATTACCTATACTTTCTCATTCCTTCTTAATCACTCATCCCATGTTAACCGACCAGCATACTTTACTAACATCCACTTGTCATGAGGGATCCTTGGCAGATTGAAAACCCAAGTACTGACTTCTTTAAAATTCCAGTTCTTTAATGAAGTGGATACAATTCACGTAACATTCACCATATTAAAGTGCGTATTCCAGTGGGCTTTGGTGTGTACTCACTGCTGTTGACTGTCCTACTTCTAATGTTTCCATCACACTGAAAGGAGACCCTGTATTCACACTCCCTGGCAACTGCTTCTATCCCCATGGATTTCCATGTTCTGAATATGCTGTGTAAATAGATTTGTATAATATGGGATCTTTCTGTCTGATTTTCTCTTCAGATAATTTTCTTTTAAAGATCTTATTTACTTATTTGAGAGGTAGAGTTACAGACAGTGAGGGAGAGACAGAGAGAAAGGTCCTCCATCCATTGGTTCACTCCCCAGATGGCAGCAATGGCTGGCGCTGGGCCGTACTCTGTAGAGTACTCTGATTAGTTTGGTGGGGGTCACGTACCCATTCCAGAGCAATTACTGTGGTCTGACCAGCCACTGAGAAGCCACATGGGGTAGAAAAAAGGTGTTTGGCTGAAGAAAATGGAATGTAAGTGCTAGAGAAACAGAAAGTCAGATGCCCTAACTGAATTACACTGAAATATGCAGCTGTCGGCAACACTCAGATTCCTGCCTCTGGCACTTTCACTTATGTCAGTAAGAATGGTACAGTGTTATCTTTCTGATGGTATAGTTGTTTGAAGTTACATCAGAAGTCATGGAATGATTCTGATTTCATTAAAGACAAGTTGTCTTCAGGCTGGTTGTTCTGGACTGATGTATGCAGAAGGAAATTTGGAAAAATCATAGTGCGGCTTCTCGCAGAATTTGTTCAAGTCACAGGCATCCTTGGTTTACTTTTTTTTTATTTTAAGGAAAAATGATCTTTAATTTTGCCACTCAAAGCATTCTGGATTTTTTAAAAACCTTTTTATGCATATAACACTGGAAAAAGTAAATTCATAATATATAGTCTTTTTTCCCTCTTGTTGTATTTCAAGCATATTTCTTTTGTAAAAATTGAAATGTACTTCACATGCATAAAATAATGGTTTTAGTATATCCACAAGGTTTTACTTCCATCGTCACTGTGTAATTCCAGAACATTTTTATGACCTTTGAAACAAACCTTCTCTCAGTGAACAATCTCTCCCCATCTCTCCTATCCCTAGCCTTTGGTAAACATCAGTCTGCTTTCTTTCTTCATATGTTTGCCTAATTTGGATATTTCATAAAAGTCTAATCATGTAATATGTGGTCTTTGTGTCTGATTTCTCTCAGAATGTTTTCAAGGTTTATCTGTATTGTAGCATGTATTTGTATTCTTTTGTTTGGTTGGTTGAGTAATATACATTTTTTTTAAAGATTTATTTTACTTGAAAGGCAGAGTTACACAGAGAGAGAAGGAGAGGCAGAGAGAGAGAGAGAGAGCTTCCATCCACTGGTTTACTCCCCAATTGACTGCAACG